CAAGGAGGACATCCACACGTACAGGAGTCGGATGAGGAGCAAGAGAGATACCGAGGCGAAGATTGCAGACCTAGAGTTCCGGGTATCGAGCTACGAACTCAACATGCAAGAGGAGGTGGCAAGGAAGGTTGATGAACGCATGGCCGCACATCGGTCCCATGATCCCCAGCCGACCATTCCTCCTGCAATGGTGAGCCCGTCAGGAAACCGTAGCAGCTGCGCCTCAACGGGGCAGGTAGGATCACAGAGCATGGACGCCATGCAAACACAGGACGAATCGACCTGTCCCGTTGATGACATCACTCAGCGGACACCATGTGAGCTGCATATTCCTTTGAAGAACTTATCAATAAAGGTAAGATTTAGCCATTCCGCTAGTTGCTGCTTATATATGTTGATTACTAATAAATAATCTCTCACAACATGAAGGTGGCGTCGGGCATGGCCATCCCAACGGACCCTTCAGGTACTTACCACTGCAGGCCGATTCCAGCAGGATACTCCAAGGTCGAAGTTGAGTTGGTCGAAGGCGCGTTCGAGGACCTCGAGCTGGATTACCCTGGAGGAGACGGTGAGACGCATCTACGAGACACATGCCATGCCATTATTCTATGGCGCAGGCGGTACATCATCCTCCCTGGGCGACAAGCGGCGTCTCGTGCACCATCTCCTCTGGCTTCGCCATCTCCTCCTCAGGATCCTGCACCGTCTCCTCCTCATGCTCCGCCAGCACCGTCTCCACCTCAGGCTCCAGCATCGACTCCTCAGGATCCTGCACCGACTCCTCCTCGTGCTCCTACACCTACTCCCCCGCAAGCTCCTCTTCCGGCACCTTCAAAGTCAAGGGCCCCCCCAGCTCCACCGCTTGCCCACATAAGGGCAACAAAGAAGGCGAAAGTTGACGCCGCCAAGAACAAGGACTCGGGGTACGATTGCACGCAAGAAGAGCTTGACGCTTACGTTGCATCAGAAGTCAAGAGACAATTCAAGCCTCGAAGTCCAGAAAAGAAGATTCCTATAGACCCCAGTGTCAGGAACTTCTTCAGGGGTATGTCTGCATCTGTCAAGGAGGCCATCAAGCTATCGGACTATGAGCGAACGCTGAAGAAAGCATCTTCTGGAAAGTCCAAACCAGTCCCTCAGCTTGGAGAGCAACCAAACCAGGAGATCGAGCCGTTGGTGACCGGTAAAGAAATGACGATAGAACAATTTATTACTGACACCGGTCTAACTACGGATCAATTGCTAGGAGTCGCACCAATCGAAAAGGCGGAAGTGAAATACATGTACGAACTTGGTAAACCGCTTGTCAAGCCTGAGCTGCTGCAGTCCCTACCCACACAAATGTACAAGTTCCATCAGCTGTACATGGAGATGAGCGCCACCGGTAGAGAGATGATCGGAGCGAGGATCAGGGACACGGACTTCTTGCAAGGAGATGACATTCTCTGGATCAATTTCAGGGGAATCTACGAACTATACCAGCTGGACGCCCTCGACGTCTCTATTATGAGTTGCTGGATTTTGTAAGTATATCGTTCAGTTAGATTTCTTACTATACGTCTCCTTTAATTAATTAGGTCCTTGTATATAAGTAGACCATAGAAAATAATATACTCCCTTTTATCGTTGTAGAATGGAGATTCAAAGGGCCCGACGGCGGAGGGTTTTCGATACTGGATTCATCGACCCTCGGAAAGTAAACGTCGCAATGCTCGACCAATATCCACAAGAAACAGAGGACAATCTCGTCCATCTCCTGAAGGCGCAGCATTACAAGACGTTCATACTGTTGCCATACAACACAGAGTTAGTTTAATTTTACTGTCTTCCTACATACCAAATTTCATTCCCGTACGAACTTGCTAAGTGTTTCATATGTAATGCATCCCACGCACATTGCAGATTCCACTGGGTGCTTTTACTCATCGACCTGGAGGCCTGCACCATCAACGTATATGACTCAATGGATAAAAAAGAGTCTACGTTTGACAAGGTTTTCGAACTTATAGACAGGTACCGTCATAAGTTCCTTTGTTAATTAAGAAAATCTTGTTATGTTAATTGCTACTACGAATCATAGCTTTAAACTCCATGTAGGGCTTGGTATCGGTTCCGTCATTTGGTCCGCGGCAAATGGAGAGAAAGACTTAGGCGGAAGTTCAAATTTCCTGTGAGTACACATGCTCTACATTTATATTTCTCCGATTCAAATACATACAAGTGTATATTAATTAGATCTCTCGTTGTTTGTCATTTATTTGTAGTGCGCAAAGCAAAAGCAGGGAACTAACTTGTGCGGCTATTACGTGTGCGAGTATTGCCACTGCCTTGCAGACCAAATCATCACCACAAGAGAGCTCGATGTACGTACAAATAAATTCAAAATTTCATTATGTAGCGATTTCTTGTTTAATTACTAATCAATTTCATACATTCATATAGTTTATTCGCATGAGGGATAACCTGACCACACACAAGGAATTTATCGCGGCGGTTCAAGAACAACTCATGGGATTCATCAACGAAGAAATCCTTGATCCCAAGGGTGAATTCTACTACGACGGAAACACAATTCACCGGTCCTTAGCTTCTGAGCTAGCAGCGAGTACTACTACGTCGAAATCGTAGCTAGCTAGGACATATAATGGATTGTAATTAATACATGACTACATATGTTTCTATATGCATGTGTACACATTTTCTATAATGTAAATATATTTTGTTCATATATATATATCTATATACATATGCATTTGCATAACATATATATGTATAAATACATATACATATGTATGCATATATATGTATTGAAACATATATATGCATGGTTTATATATATATATATATATATATATATATAAACCATGCAGCAACAGGGGCATGCAAAAAAAAAAGGTCAGCTCTATCTTTAGTCCCGGTTGGTAACACCAACCGGGACTAAAGATCGATCTTTACTCCCGGTTATTTCACCCGGGACTAAAGATAGCGATCTTTAGTCCCGGATTGGTACTCCCGGTTTGGAAACCGGGACTAAAGGGGGGTTACGAATCGGGACTACAAAGGGTTTCTCCACCAGTGACACCATTCCACATAGATGAGATATAACTGGGATACAAATCGGTTTACTTTAAGGGTTGTGAAGGTAGAGAAACTTGTAAACCATATAAACTTACTTTGGTGTTATATGGTTGGCAGCGCTAAAAACATGTACATTACTAGAGCATAGTAGGAAAAACCAGACTGGACCACTCATTGGCTCGGTTTGCTCCAAGGATCGTCACGCAATCAACCCGGTGTGAACCGGGTAGTTTTCCTGAAGAACCACCAAATCAGGACACCCTAAACCGGCCAGCTACTTTTATGTGAGGAAAAGTGGTGCAAGGGGTGGGAAATGTGGAAATCTATCCCTGGTTGCTAGAATATAAAGATGCCAATGTGCTTAGCCTATAAATCACGGATCAACTGGTACCAGTTGAACTGGCGGACCAGTGAACCGAGCACTCCACCAAGTCAAAGACTAGTCCAGCTTTTTTTACTATCTCATTTGAGAGGAGAGGGAAGAACAAAGAGGTTGTGGAGAGGAGAGCTAAAAATAGAGAGGTTTAGAAGACTAGACAGTAAGGTGTGTGATCCCTCCTCTTTACTAGCCAAAATCATGGAGGAAGGATGTATATGTGCGATTGCTGGAGCTTAAGTGACTAGATCGAAGGCAAAATCCATGGATCCGTTTTACAGTTCTTTTCCCTTATATCTGTACGAATATGTACTACTCTATTCACTCCCTTGTTTTTACAATCAATCATCATTATTGTAGTAGGAATTCTGTTGTTTAAGCTTTCTATAAATCTATAAGTAGTCAGCAGCCTTTGCAAAAAAAATAATATAAGTAATCAGCAGAGCTCAAATTAAAACCTCAAAACATGACTTGATGGCTTTAAGAGCAAGTTTAATAGTATAGCTAACTACGAGCTCCAATTCATCTATAGCCAATCTAATAGCTTATTCATACAATAGTTACATACTACACTATTAATATCTGGTCCCACCTGTCATACACACACTGTGTCTTGGAGTCCGTGCTACAGCTGGCTACAAATATGTAGCCCGCTGCTCTTCTCTCTCCCTATTTATCTCCTTAAAATATGTTTGCAGCTGGCTTATGGCCTGCTATTGTACATGCTCTAAGTATAGTACTACCTCTCTCCCAAAATAATTATATTTATAGGATATAGACTTTATCCCAAAATAGTTATCACTCTAGAGTATAGTACTAATTGTTCTATCAATCATCTCTTATTCAAATTTCTTTCTATTTTACCCTCAACCACCGTTGCGCTCTTACCTATAATACTACAGTCTTTCTCGTCAATCTTTAGTACTCCCTCCGTACTCGTAAAGGAAGTCGTTTAGGACAACATTTAAATCAAACCTTAGGAATATAAATCATGAATAATTCTCAAGTTGTTGAGTTTGAAAATGTAAAAATTATATGAATAGATTTATCTTGAAAATTACTTTCATAAAAATATACATATATCACTTTTCAATAAATAATTTTATAAAAACAAGAAGTCAAAGTTGTGTTTTGGAGGCCATGTCGATGTCCAAAACGACTTCATTTATGAGTATGGAGGGAGTATATGCTAAACAATCTATAATTATAATTATTTCGAGACGGAGGTAGAAGATGGCTATTATATTTATTAATAATTTTATGCTAAACATTTAGACCAATAAATAATCGGCTAACGCGAGGTATATATTTCACACGAGAAAATAGTTGGTATACTGCTGTGAAATTAGAGATCTCACTGATTAGAAGTAGCCACCAACCATAACCATAAAAAGGCAGTACTAATATTATGAAGCAGTAGAGTAGAGAGTTGGTATATGAATATGCAGCAGTTGCGGAAATGCGGAGCCGCATGCAAGACGACGATCTGATCTACCAAGCTTAATTAGCCGGCAGCCGCTAACCCTGAAGTGCAAACAAATTACTAAACCGAAATGCAAAATACAGCTAAGAACAAACAAAATGCAAGAACCATGGGCAACACGGCGCTCAACGTCGCGACAGCCACGGCGGCCGCCGGACCAACCGCATGGAGCAGCCAGAAATACAGGCCGGGGTTTGCGACGAACGCCCAGCGAAGCATCATCAGGCCGCCGCCGCCCGGAGCGATCATCATGGCACCGGCGCCGGCAGCGCCCGCCGCCGTGAAGAGGGCGGCAATGAACAGCCCAACGGCTACCGCCACCGCACCGACGGCAATGGCCACCCTGGCCCAGAACGGGATCTCGATGCCCAGCATCCTCTCCAAGAACCGGAAGCCGCGGGCAAGAGCCTTCCTGACGCTGGTGGAGAAGATGGCGGCCGAGGCCTTCTTGATAGCCTTGGAGGCCTTCCTAGCCTTTTCCAACAACTCCGCGGCGGCGGCCATGGCCGCCTTCCCGGCGCTCTCGCAAGCCGCCGGCAGAGCGCTCGTGGCGTCAGCCGCGGCCTTGTTAGCGTTGTCGAAGAAGTCCGAGGCGGCCTTGCCGGCAGAGCGGCACGTCGCTGAAACGGTGGTCGCAACATCGATCGCGGCGGCCATGGTCGCCTTGCCCGCCGTCTGGCATGTCGCCGAGAAAGCAGCACTCGCGGCGGCACCCATGTGTGCTGCTAATTCGCACGCACGCACACCTATCCCTCGACACCTTGGAGCAATTACTCCAGTTTGCTATACGTTTGTGTTGGACAGAATTTAGCTGCGGTTTATACGTACGTATTTATAGGACAAGGGGATGCGAGACGATGCTGGCTTTCGATCGCTTCGATCATGCGAACGGAGATTTGACTGAAAATTATTGCAAAGATTAAAACGGCGATTGATCGAGATAGGCAGGCAGAGCCACGCTTTGCAACATGCGCGACCCTTGCGATTCTCGAAGCCATTGATGACTGGGATGGGATGACGGGCGACGGGTGGAGTATTGCTAGCAGTTCATTGTTGGGTGGTTTGCGATTGGCGCGCTTGCAACGAGGAGGCAGGTGCTGAACACCTACTATATCATACTACACCCTCCGTCCAAAAAAAATTCAACTTTTAGCGCAAAAAAATCAACTTGTACCATCCTACCTACTCTCAGCACGTAAAATGAGAAGTTTTATTTCTTCAATATCCTTTACCTACATATTACTCTTAATACTCCCTCTATTCCAAAATATAAGGCACAACCATCCTTAACCCAAAGACTAAGAAATAATAATTATCATCTTGTAGTTTGGATCATCCTAATAAATACTAATGCATGCATCCAATAGGATTACATAACATGAGAGTGGAAGATTTAAAAAGTAATAATTTAATGGAGAAGATGTCATAATTAATTACATGCTTGCATGTATGTCTTATATTGGAATATCTAAGAGCAGGTACAATAGCAGGCTATAAGCCAGCTGCAAACATATTTTAAATAGATAAATGAGGAGAGAGAATGGCAGCGGACTACAGATTTGTAGCCAGCTGCAGCACGGACTCCAAGACACAGTGTGTGTATGACAGGTGGGACCAGGTATTAATAGTGTAGTATGTAACTATTGTATGAATGAGCTATTAGATTGGCTATAGATGAATTGGAGCTAGTAGTTGGCTATACTATTGAACTTGCTCTAAGAAAAGTGGTTGTGTCTTATATTATGGAATGGAGGGAGTACTTTTTTCAATGATTAAAGTATTATAGTCATTCCCACTCTCCACTAATACTACCTTGTGATGCTAGTAATTGATTTTTTTTTGGACGGAGGGAGTACTAACTAGCATAGCGGCCCGCGCAGATTGTTCAGCTAGCACTATTATAAAATTCTCTTACATAGTAGCATATATGTTTTCATATTTTATTATAAAATGTATTTAAAAAATAGCAACATAAACTGTGTCGACGTTTGATGTCGCGATTCTGGTATTTGCACAGTATGGGGATCGTTGGTACTAGGATATACGCGAGACTTAGGTAAAAGAGATAAAGACGAGGATTTTTATATAGATTCGGGCCCCTGAATTGTCAGGTAATAACCCTACATCCTGTTGCCCGAAGCCGGTATTGCTCTTATTCACCATAAGAGCACCAGCAATGCTAAAGTATCGTGCTATCTATAAAACATGTACATCTCAGCAATAGATTAGATTAATAGTAAACCACTTCAATGGTATGTCTACATCGGTATCTATAGCTCTCTAATCCATTGCCTCGTTTTTCTCTATAGACTATCTCCAGGTTAGTAGATAGCTTTGCTCTCTCTCTTCATTTAATCTCTTCCAAGTAGGAAAATATGCTGACATGGATCTCTTGTAGAGAGCCTATAGATAACCATTGTGGCTGCCCTAATCACACCAGTATAATATTTGGGGTAGCCTATCTAACTGTTGTCGACTTGGCGGCCTGAAGTTCTGACTCGTAGTCGACAACAGGGTGGTCTTCCTCCTCGAGTTCGTGCCCGGCGAGATCAGAGACAACGCTAGATCCCTACGGCCGGCCTCTGTAGGTACCGGATAGGGTCGGTCTAGGCATATCTCTGATGTCGATATCCGACGGCTTGTCTTGACGTATGTTGGCTTGTACGTTGATCTTGTGTCTTGATTTATTGTTCCGTGTCCCCTCTCCTCCTAGGGGGGCCTTGTATTTATACCCATAGGTGTCCCCTTGTCCAAGTACAACTAGGGAAACCAATATGGATATAATCCGAGTAGTTCTTATCGTTTCCATGTAGAACTCTAGTCGTCTTTCCTTATCCGGAACTCCCTCCATATCCGAGGTCAATTTTCGTATAAGACATGGTATGTGGTGGGCCCTGCCGAGATTTAGTCGACTACTATTAGGTATGTGGTATCCATAACCCTGACAGTAGCCCCCGACTTCAATGCAAATAAACAAATTCATATTCTTAACCGTAGACCTCGGGGTAACTATTATCAAGCTCACGTGACCGTTCTCCGTGAGTTCAGCGATAAAGTCGGACTTTCCTTATCAGCCTCGTGCGGGCACCTATAGGTTTTGTCTGAGTCAATCTCCAACGTCAACTAAGAAAGTACAAAGCATACGACTAAGTCTCCCATCTCGTTGTAATCGAGAATTTGGATTGAAGTTAAGAAATTTTATCTCGGCGGGTACACCATCTTTTCATTCCATATTCCTTGTCGAGATCCACCAACCGTTCTCGAGCGATCGAGAAGGCGTATAATCTGCAACGAAGCCTTGTCAACATTTGTCGTACTCGCATTAGTCGATCTTGGTGTAGAACCATAGAGACATGAAGTCTTCAACATTGTCAAATAGAATTTTCCTGAAATCAACACTCAAAAAAGAATATTAGATAGAAATAGCCCCCGAGCGAACGCTCAAAGGGTAATATGTTATAATATGTATGGAAAACTAAAAATGAATTAAATTTACAGACTATTGTTTTGTATATGAGCGTCTTCTCTTTTAACGACTTCGATCAGCCAGTTTGTTGAGTCATACACTCTTTCTAGCCCCCAGCCTTGTCGTTGGAGAATCGTTCTCAGAGGATAAGGCTCTTGGACCCTTGACCTGCCTTGGATGAAAAAGCACTGATCCTAGCACCTAGCCGTGAAGTTGGAAAACTCAATTTCCGATTACACGACTTGGTTAATACGCACGGCGAGAACTCTTATTTGACCAGATCTTACATGGTCGTTTGTCTCTACATGATCCGACAAGGCCTTATCCGCTATAGGTGTCCCCAGCCGAAGTTCTCTTAGGTTCCTCAGAGGCCTTGTTAGGACGGCGTAAAGGGACAGTAGGATTGGTCTCAACTCTAGGTGTCGTTGTGGTATGGTATCTCTGGGTAAAACACTTGGCGATATTGTGTATCTGATATCAACTTTGTTGGAGTAGAGGTAATGAGAGGATCGCTACACCGCTGGTCGAAAACCAATTGTAGCCCCAACTCGACCACTTAAAGTAAAGGTAGTGGGAAAATAGCTACATCACTGGTCGAGGACCAGGTAGTAGTCGTAACTCGACCACTTGAAGTGGAGCTAGTGGGAGAATCGCTACACCGCTGGTTGAGAACCAAGTGTAGCCTTAACTCGACCACCTAAAGTGGAAGTAGTGGGAGAATCGCTACACCGCTGGTCGAGGACCATGTAGTAGTCGTAACTCGACCACTTAAAGTGGAAATAGTGGGAGAATCGCTACACTGCTGGTCGAGGACCAAGTAGTAGTCGTAACTCGACCACTAGAAGTAAATATACGAGAGATCGCTACGATTGACTGGTTGAGAACCAATGAGTAGGTGTCTCTCGACCATTTGAAGTTGGTACGAGGGCCGCTATGCTGCCGGTCGAAGACCAGTCGCAACTGCCCCTCAACCATCTGAAGTCATCTGAAGTTGTGGTGCAAAGACCACTAAGCTGCTGGTCGAAGACCAGTTGTAGTCGTACCACGTCCATCTGAAGTTAAGGCGCGAGAGATTGCTACGATTTACTGGTTCGAGAACCAGCGAATAGAATTATCTCTCGAACGCCAATGGAAGTTGCAGTGTGAGAGATTGCTACAGTTTATTGCTTCGAGAACCAGTGAGCGAGTAGAATTATCTCTCGAACACCAATAGAAGTTGCGGTGCGAGAGATTGCTACGGTTTACTGGTTCGAGGACCAGCGAGCGAGTAGAATTATCTCTCGAACACCAATGGAAGTTACGGTGTGAGAGATTGCTACGGTTTACTGGTTCGAGAACCAGCGAGCGAGTAGAATTATCTCTCGAACACCAATGGAAGTTGCGGTGCGAGAGATTGCTACGGTTTACTGGTTTGAGAACCAGCGAGCAAGTAAAATTATCTCTCGAACACCAATGGGGGCGCTAGAGTTAGTTTATTACATGTGCATCTCATGTGGTCAGCATGACTCACATACCCAACTTATAGCATATCCGCATGCCCGTTCGCAATCATGTCGGGTGATCAAGCCGACGACGTTCGCGAGGAATTATCCGTTAACAACCTTTTTTTGAGTAGTCCAGCCATGGCCGGTGCTATGAGATAGGTCATCGGTCTTCGTTGGCAGGTTGGGCGCGACGACTCTGCATTTGTCGAGATCGTTCTCGATAATGGGGTGTACTCGACCACAACCTACTTAAGTGCTCAATTGTTCCTGAAAAATATTTTCTAGAAGGCAAGACATATAGCAGAAAATATCGAGTATGTACTCAAAAAACTGCATGGATCTTCTAGCATTATCAGGATATAATGAGCAGATATAAATATCAGGCATTATGTAGACCGTAAACAAGCATGATTTATACAGAAGAAAATAGAGCGAGCCCCAGCATTAGACCGTAATCGATTTAACATCGGGGACACTCGCGCAATAGACATTGTATAAAAAAACACGCTTTAGGTAAACATAATAAATTATTGATCTGATAATATCTGAAAATAGGTACGGTAAATTGTATATAAAATATTGCGTATATTTGTAGATATATGCCGGATATATCTACGAAATTAGTAGATTAATTTAAAATCAATCTTACTGATTACCTTCGTTCACATATTTATAAAGATCAGACCATGCGAATATCTGTTTTTCCTTGTCATATATAACGGTGTCTTGGTTATATGACTGATCAAAGCCATTAATTAGCTTCCTGA